AGTGAGGCAGCAGGTGGGAGACTCTTGATGACCAAGCTGAGGTCTGAGTCAGCTCCATCCCCTGCAGCAGCACCCTCAGCCCTGGGAGGAAGGGATTCCAGTGCGAAGGAGAACCTAGTGGCCAGACTGTGCAGCCTCCCGCTAGCCTCCCCTTGCCTGACCTCACCCAGCAACTGACCAGCCTGCTCAGGGCTCAGCATCACACATCTCCTCCAGCCCTCAGAGATCAGCAGAGGCAAGATCCCCCTCCCCTTCACCCCGGCTATTGCAGTGCTGGAGAAGGGCTTCCTGCTACCCTCCTGAGGTCAGACCCTAAGTCTCATGTTACAAAATCAAGCCAGAAAGAGCCCCAAGCATGGTGCCTGGAGCACCATGGTGCTAAATTGGTCTGTCCCCCTCCTAATCCTGAGAGTAACCCTATGAGGTAGTTGCTACTATTCACATCTTACAGATAAGGAAACAGGGTCAGAAGGGTTAGGTGGTCTGATCTCGGTTAGACCTTCCTAACCAGGTCTCTTAGGAAGTGGTGGAGCCTGGATTCTGCTGGCCTAGGCTTGTTCCATGGCCTTTGTCCCACTGTCAGGGGAATGGGAATGGAGACTTTTCTCCAAAGGTCTTTCTCTTTCCAGTAAATGCTTTTCCTGATAACCTCCACATAGCTGACTTCCAAGGCAGACCCTAAGCTGGAGCTGAGTCAGGGGGACGCAGTTCCTCTGGCCTAGGGCCTTCTGTTCCCTCAATTAACACCCAGGCCTTGTATAAAGCAGGTGAATTTTCACCCAGCCCCACTTAGAGACCCAGCAGATCAGAGCCCTGACAGAAAAAGGACATCCACTGATCTCAGAGGCTAGACAGGGACCGAAGTGTTGTGGCTGGCAGGATAGACTTTGCAGAGGTCACTGGGTCTACCTGGAATGGTGACCCTCTTCCCCTCACCCTTTGGCTTTCCAGAGAACCATCTTTCCCAGGGTGGCAATGCTGCAAAGACCAGGGGGAGGCCTGAGTGGGGATGCCAGGGTGGTGATGAGAGATGGTACAGCCACAGGCAAATACCAAGTGGACACAGAGAGTCCCCTGAATAAGTGGGGGAAGTTGAAAGGGCCATCTGAGTAGCTCTCACAGTGGAGCACTCCCTGCCCAGCATCCCTACCATGTGCTCATACCTCAGAGTCCAAGTCCCACTAGAGAAGGTTCAGGCAACCGTTGGGACCAGCCCAGACCTCCTGTGCATACTAGGTCAGCTGAGCTCTGCAGCCCCAGCCCACAGCCAATCCTCCAGGGCCTCTGCTTCAGCTCTGCCTCATCCAGTGAGGCCACCCTCATAGCCCATGCAATACTCAGGCCTCCCTCAGCTACTCACCTCCACTAGCCACAGAACAGAGGAGCCTCAGAATGTGGGCAGCAAGGAGGAGTGACCAGGGGGCCGAAGGTCCCAGGGAGGGGGATTCAAGGGATGCCAGCAAGAAAAAGAGTGAAGGGAGAAAAATAGTAGAGGCAGGAGGAAAGACTGCCAGGGCCAGAGGGACACAGAGCTACTGTACTCCAAAGAGGCAGTCTGTGTTGGAGAGAGCAGCTGCCAGGCCAATTTATTGTTTATTTTATTACCCTGGGTTGCTGGGCTTTAGGCCAAGGAAGTTATTTCAGGCAGAGATTGTAGCACATTAATTAGTTATTAGAAGAATGTCCTTTTCTGTGTGTTCTTCCTGAGACAAGAAATAGACCCCGTGGCAGGCACATATAACTGAAAGTGGATGGACACTCAGGAGGCAAAAAGCCAAGAACTGGGGAACAAAGAGACAAGTCTTTGTTTCTGAGGGAGAGGTCCCAGGCCTCTGATTGGAGATGAGAACCGAGGCAAGAGAGGGCGGACAGGGAAGGGATCCTGAGATCTAGGCGCAGGCACAGTTGCCTACCCCAGGGGGCCTTATTTGCTTTGCGGAAAGGATGTTGTGCCAACCTACCCTCTTGGAAAGCAACTGCGAAATATGGCTCTTAATACAAAAATCAAAAAGTAAAAAAGAATTTTTAAAAACATGATACTCCACAAAACCTTTGGCCTAGTAATTCCACTTCTGGGAATCCCTGAGAAAACAGTCCAATATATGGAAAAATATTATGCACAGAGATATCCAGAGTGATTCTGCAATAGCAAAAGGTAGAATCAACCTAAAAGAAGTAGAGTGCTTAAATGAACAATTGCATATACATACAGGGAGCTGTTAAAAATCATGCTTACAAAGATATTTTAATTATATGGGTAATGTTCATGCTATAAGAAAAAAAATTTTTTAATTACATAGGTAATGCTCATGCTATAAGAAAAACAAACAAACCAGCACATAAAACTATATATATGGTATGACTTCAACTGTGTTAGAAAATAGCTAAAAATACTGGAAAGGTATATACACATACACTTGTACACACACATAACTTAAAATGGTTTCCACATGAGTCATGGAGTAACGGGTGAATTTTTTGTCTTCTTCAAATCTATTCTTTTCTGCATTTTGCAATAAAAATAACTGTTTATTGAATTTAATGAGAAGGAAGAAAAAAACGTAATTTGGTTTTGGCAGGTTTCCTGTGCTACAACCCTTCCTATCTGGCTGGGTGACTCTCCCTCAAGAGGAGAAAGCTTTTGATGCATGAGCTAAATTCAGTTACTGACACAATTGGGGAGGGAGCACTCTTGTACTCAAAGGATAAGAAAGAAGAGGGATCTGCCTCTCCCAGCCTTCCTGTCTCCCTCATATAAGAAATAATCTGTGGCAACTTGACTCTGCTACTTTCTTAGACCCAGTTAACAGCCAGCGATGACTCACATAAAGCCAGGAGAGTGTCTCAGACAAAAGGCACTTAAGCCTGTCTGCTGCTTGGGGATCCTGCCCCAGGGACACTCACCTTTCCCCATTTCCCTCCCATTCTGCAAATGTCTACTGGGAGGGGACCCTCCCACAGCTGAGACACTGGGCAAGGCCCTGGCAATGCCAAGGCCCTGGCGAGGCCAAGGTACAGATATTGCCTTGTAAGTGCTCGAGCTCCAGGAAGGAGAAGCTCTAAACGATGCACTAAAAATTATCAAGGTATGTTCAGAGTCAGGGAAGGCTGTGGCAGGGCAGGAAGAGTCTACAAATAACCCGTGCTTCCCAGGAGTCACAAACCGGGCCAGGAAGAGGACAGAAATCACAAAGGAAACCTACAGAACCAGACAGCTCGGATGTGCCTTTAGCAGCAAGGGCAAGGGATGCTTAATAAAACAAGGGGTGTGGATTCATTAGATCAAGGGTTCTCACCCTGAAGTCCAAGGATGGCCTCTTGGACACCCAACATTTGATGTAAATTTGGTAGAGATGTGAATTTTTCTAAAGACAAGTCCACATTTTTCATCAGACTTCAAAGAAGGTGCTGACTTTATTAAAAGTTGAGAAGCAATAAATTAGATTAATCTCTAAGGGCTCCTGCAGTTCTAACAATATAAAATACAGAAGAGCCAACAGGCCCATCACTGCCACGTCCTGAACTTCTTCAGAAATCACTTGGCCTCTCAAAGCTGCTGAGCCCAGAGCTGTCCACTCCACAAGGACAAACTCGATCTGGCGTTCTGTTCAGACATGACACGTTATGATGGTGCACGTCCTACTCCAGAAGGCTTGTGTTATACGTTTAGGGTTAGAGAAAATTAGTACCTAGAAAATTAGTAACCAGACTGTTTACTTTTCTGCTCTCCTCACCAAACAAAGCACAGGGTTTTGCATGTTGCAGATGCTCAAGTAGCCAATAAATGGAAACAACAAGACACCTGCTTTCAAACCCTCTGCAGGAGATGAGAGTTTGGGGGCTACTGAACCCCATTCCCACACTGTGGGAGCCTGACTCTCAACACAGAGGGACACAGGCACTCTCAACAGTTTGGAGTGGCTGTAAAAGAGGCCAAGGAAAATGGTCTGGCCTTGGAGGTTGTGTGGATTGAGGACTAAAGAGAAGCCTGTTCTCTAAAGATACGATGGATTCTCATCACTCTGGTGGACAATATGCAGACCTCTCTGAATGTAAGGTGGCAAGTGGACTTGGAGAGGATACCTCCAGCCCAAGGATTCTGTAATTCAAGGGAATAGGTGACTCATCCTTAAAGTCACAGCGTTTAGCCCACCATCTCCTCACATGCGTCTAGGACCTGCATCTCAGGTCTGCTGCCCACCCATTACATGGCTTTGGACAATTTACTTAACCTCTGTATGCCTCCGTTATCTCACCTGCAAAGTCAAGGGGCTGCGTGAGACAATGCCAATATCTCTTCCACCTCTAAAAGTCTTAAATATTATTATCGAGCCATTAAGATCAAACCAGAGAAAAGGGAAAAATAGCATTCTGCTTCTGACTCTGCTTCTGTTGTGATATACATTCTGTCGTGATATGCAAGTGATATACATTGGAGCTCTGCCTTAGAGAAGGAAACTGATAAAAGCAGGACAAGTGGCACAACCAGGCACGGGGCTACAGGGGTCCCCTGCCTACCTCCATTCCCAGGCCTGCTCCCATCAGAATTCCTCAGCGCAGCTGTAAGCCTCCCATGTGAGTGCCTAGTCCTACAAAAGGCAAGGAAAGTGCATCCAGCCATGAAAGACATCCTAAAAAGTGAGTGTGTAAGACAGCCCCACCAGCATAAGGTGCTCCAGAGACAGGAGCTCTCTCCCTTGTGCCTCCTGGGACTCAGTTTCATCATCTATAAAATGGGGAAAACAGAGATGGCTCTGAACTTGAACACTTCATACAAACTGCCTGAGCCAAGGGGGTAAGTACCTCCAGGTAGGATGGGGAGGGGGACGAGCAGTGAAATTGTGGGGTACACGTTTTTACACCTGCACCCAGGGATTTCTTCAGAGCCCTTTAACTGAAGACTTCCTGTGTGCCCCCAGGCAGGAGTGGGGCACTGGGAGTCACTGGAGGGTCTAAGCACCGGGCGGCGGGGTGGGCTGCCCGGGCCCTGGGCCGCTCACCTGATGAAGGTGGTCTTCCCGGTGGAGTACTGGCCCACCAGCAGGACCATGGGCTTGTTGTCGAAATCGGCATCCTCCAGGGCAGGCGAGTGAAACTCGTGGAAGCGGTAATGCTCTTCCAGGGGCAGCAGCTTGCTCTTGTAGAGCTTCTTGAGCCCCTCACTCACCGTCTGGAAGACCTCGGGGTCCTTCCTCCGGCGGTCGTCGGTACCCAGCCAGCTGAACATCGCGGCCGCCGCTCGCCCCCCGCGCGCAGCCCCGGAGGAAGGCTCCTCCCTAGAAGGTGCCCCGCAGGGCC